GAAGCAGTAAATAGAACAAAAATTCACACATGCAGCAGCAGCAACAAACTCCCCGAAAAAAAATCTAATCTGTGCTAAGGTTTCCTAAACAACAAGAACAACAACAACCAAAAATAGACAACAACAAAAATAACCAACATGAAAATGAAATGAAATAATGAAGATGAAACCTAAAATCCAAAACCAAACAAACAAACAAAAAATATACACCCACCCCTCTAGAACTGAATCCGATACCAAACTCAATGTTGTGGAACTTTTTGTAAATTTAAACCAAAATATTGCAATTTTTGGCTTTAGTTTAAAATGTAAAAAAAATATTTGTTTTTTGTTATAGCCTGAAGGTAAAAAAAAATCTCCCAACCAGATGTTTGCCTTTTTCGTCTTCTCATTAGATATTATATTTTATTCTGTTTCTGTAGATGATAAAAAACATTTTAATTTTATTCTGTTTTTTACCTGAGGCACATGCCTCCGACAAAAGGATTTTTTTGTTTCTTGCCAAAACTCATACTGTTGTTTAATAAATTAATTTTTTTCTAGATGAAGTAGCCCGAAAGAAACTCGAATACAATTGTAGCTGTTATTTATCCAGCTAAGTAGATGGACTACGACGAATTGCCAATTTGGGTAGTGGGCGATAGTAGATTATGTGTAAAATTTCATAATTTTTTATTCATATAATTAAATTATACACTTAACATTTATTTCTCCTCAAACTCATAGATCATATGACATGTTTTTGTTTGTTTTCCAAAAAAATTGTAATTAAATTTTAATTAATTACATTTCTGTATAAGCAGCATGTGGGTGGTGCAGCAGGATTTCTCTTCTTGAACATTACGAAAATTTGAAATTATTAATTTTATGAGAAATTCTTATGAAATTGTTCAGTTTCTAAAGAAAGCACAATGTGTTTTAAAACAATATCCTGGAATCCTGGAAGCCTTTAAGGAGAATATTTAATGCATAAAAAAAAACAAAATTATTAATATTTAGGATATATATATATATATATTTTTTTTTTTCAAAGGCGTGGATTTTTATCTTTGTGCATATGTTTGTAACAGGCAAAAGGAATCGAGATAGACTTTTGAGAATATGCATAGAATCACTTTCTGAGTCGATTTACGCATGTCCGTCCGTTCGTTCGTCCATGCATTTTTGCGAAAATTTTGCGAACAAAGTACAGATCGCATTTATTATCCTATTTGGATGAAATTTGGCACAGTTCAGTTATTTGGCCGAAGGACGAACCCTATTGAAATTGGAGAAAATCGGGTCAGATTTAGATATAGCTCCCATATATATATATATATATATATATATTCGTCCGGTTTTTTTGTGAATGATGCACAATTGGTACAAAATTTTGCACAGAGTACTGAATTGTTTATAAAATCGGTTTAGATTTAGATATAGCTCCCATATATAGTTTAGTCCGTTTTTTTTTTTTTGTGAATGATACACCAAACTCCCAAACAAATTCGAATGGACAGACGGACGGACACACATGTCTAGATCCAAATGTGTGATATGTAGCGTGTTTACAAATTCGAATGGACAGACAGACGGGCACACATGTCTAGATCGACTCAGCTGGTCGAGATATAGCGATCGGTATACAAAAAAGTGGGTCTAGGACCAATATTTTGCGGCCTGACAACATAGTTGTGTTGGGTATAAATACTGATTTTTTTTTTTTTGTAAACATTTGTACATGGAATAAAGTGAAAAAAAAACTCACAATATTTGTCCGATTGGGACAAAATTTTGCACAGAGTACTTAATTAGGTCTAGACGGATATTTGCGAAGGTTTGTTAAAAACGGTTCAGATTTATATGTAGATCCCATATATAGTTTCGTCCGATTTTTTGTGAATGATGCAACTCCCAATATTTGTTCGATTGAGACAAAATTTTGCATAGCGAATGCAATTGAGGAAAAATGATGTCTTTATATATTTTCGTTCGATTTTATGTAAATGGTGCACCGAAGGGTCTATGTTTGTTGGATATAGACGAAATTTGGCAGAGGGAATTAAATTGAATATAGAGTGATAACAATGGTATGTGTATGGGGTTTTTTTCAATTGGTTCAAATATCTATCTAGATAGCACATTTAATTTTCGATTCCATCTCAATGGTCGTCCAAAGATTCTATGTCTGTCTTATCTACAGAATATTGTAGATATTAACTTCTCTTGTATGTACCCAAAGTGGTGAAGGGTATCACATAGTCGACCCCGTCCGACTTTTGAACGTTTCTTACTGTTTTTTTTTTCTTTTCAAAAGACCTAACCAAAGACGAGGATTTTTTAAAGAATATTTTTATCAAAGACCACCATTGTCGTCGATTTCCATAATAAATTCCCGAACATACTGTGACCTTTTTCACAATTTGTATATGGCGCCCAATTGTTGTCATAGATGGACTTTTCTTTAATTGCAATATAGGTTTATGTTTTTGTAATTTTATTTCGAAGTATTTCGAAATATTACAGAGTCTCAACAAAGGTTTTAGTACAAAGCCTTTTGTTTGAAGATTATTTTCATATGTTACTGTAAGAGCACCTGAAATTCTTAACATGCTTTGTTGACTTTTTTGGTAATGAATAGAACGACTCCCTACCGTTCGATTTTAGATAGTTATTATTTATTTAAAAATCTGAAAAAAAATTTTCGAACTATCAATGCTATAAATTCGGCGAATTGTCAGCGAATTGTAAAGGATTTAAGATATTCAAATTTTTGTAACTCTATTCAAATTATATTGAGGCCATTCGATTTTTAATAATCATTCCATGTAAAAATGTTTCAAATTATTTTAGGGCACCCGAGTTATCAATGCTTCAAATTCAGCGAAAATTTATTTTGAATCTTAAAATTTTATTTGTAATCTTATCTCATGCGTTTTAAGGGGACCCCCCCCCCCCTTCATTCTCGGTGTCAAAATGTACTCTAATTCTAGAATGTACCTACAAAATTTCAAGTGAAAGTCTCAGGAACTCTTGAAGATATAGCCGATTTATTGTGGAAGCATCAAATGACGGCAAGAGTGATTCTCAAACATTAAACGCATTTTACAAATGGCGGGCAGGGTTCCAAATTTTTACACGTTTCTCTGGGAGTTTATAGCTCTCGTATGAACTAGGATAAAGCCAATCGGTGAAGATCTTGCTTATTTTTTAACTTAGTTTGTGGTCAAAAATAGGCGATTTTCAGAAAAAAAATCAAAGATCCGCCATTTTGTTAATTGTTGTTCGAAGTCAATAATCCTAATCCGAAAATCCTAACACTGTTGGGATTTTCGGATTCCGATGTTCCAGTTAGGAGTTATCATGCCCGCCATCAAAAAAAAAAAAAAGGAAAATAAGGAAAGGAGGAAAAACAACAACAAAAATTTGTTGTACATTATGTTTCTTCCTTTTTAAATCTTCAAATATATATATATATATATATATATATATGCAAAGTTACAAATTTTAACAAGCACTGGTATTCATTTACCAGTCCATTTAAAATCTTCAAAATAAAAAAATTGAGAATGGGGTTGTTCCCTTAATTGCCATGATAATTACTGTATTTGTATATGGAATGGAAGGTGGGAAAATAGTTTTAAGTTAATATTTTTTGTATTGAACATCTTAAATTATTAAAAATTAAACAGAAAACTGGAAATTTTTATAAAATCCCATTGAGTTTGAAATTGTTTAATTGATGTTGATGAGACGTGGGGTGGTATGAGTAACGTCAGTACTTATACGCCCCTGTTGTAGTTGAAATTGTTTTCATTGTTAATGGACGAGTATATTGTTATTTGTTGTAATCTTAGCGAATATTTAGATTTTTTATTATTAGTATTCATTGTTTTATTTGAAAATATCTTGATTTAACATAGGATTTCGTGCAAGTCGAGATATTTATTTATTATTTTTCTCCCTTCATCTTCATTTGTATCTGCCATAAAACTTCATATTTTTTTAAAATAGCAATGGAACAATAAAAAAACAACAACAAATTTTTACAGGGTTATTAATTATGAGTTTTTTTACAGATAAATAAATACAAAATGAAACATAAAAACAAAACCAAAACAAATAATCCACAAAAAATATATAAATGAACCAAACCTTAAAAATATGCCTACAATAAATTAAATAAATATACCACATATTCATATATAAATATATACAACAAACATAACAAAATATACATATATTGGAGAAGAGAACAAAAAAACTAAAACAAATTAAGAAAAGAAGATGAAACTATTCTATAAAAAATATATTGTAATAATTGTCATTCTGCAAGAAAAGAAACTTCCCCCAAGAAAACAAAAAGAAAAAAGAAATATGCATTAAGCGTTTCAAAGAAAACAAGTAAAAAACAACCGAATAAAATACCAGTGAGCGAACGGCACCGACCATATGATACCCTACACAACAACTAAATTTCTGTGGATCTATATTCCGAACCGTTCCAACATTCAAATTTCGTAACAGCTGGTCCATAAGTGTGACCTGTAGCATGTTTACAAATTCGAATGGACAGACGGACGGACACACATGTCTAGATCCAAATGTGTGACATGTAACGTGTTTACAAATTCGAATGGACAGACAGACAGACGGGCACACATGTCTAGATCGACTCAGCTGGTCGAGATATAGCGATCGGTATACTAAAAAGGAGGTCTAGGGCCAATATTTCGCGGCCTGACAACATAGTTGTGTAGGGTGTAAATACTGATTTTTTTTGTAAACATTTGTACATGGAATGAAGTGAAAAATATTAAAATAATAACTGATATATAAATATTTATACATACATATAAACAACAAGAGAAAGAAATAATAGCTTAAATATCAAAACGGAGTTATAGTGAAATAACAGATTTTATTTTTTTATAATATTAAAATTTATTTTTATTACATTGGTTTTTTTTTAACATATAACAAAATGCATAAGTTATTGTTAGAATTAAAAGGAACTAATT